TGTGTGCCAGTGCGGAGAGTGCTTGTCTAACACCCCCAGCACTGAGCAAAGGGAGTGTGCTGTAATCCCAGTTGGGAAGTGGAGGTTGGAGAATCAGAAGTCCAAGTTTATGGATACATGAGACCCTGTCTTCAAGCAAACAGACAAACAATTACCAAACTGAACCAATAAAAAATAAAAAGTTCTGGGTTTTGGACCATTGTCAGAAGAAGTCTGTTTCTGATAAGGGAAGATTGCAACAAGCAAACAAGAAAATTCAGTGTCAGGAAATAAAACAGGATCAGTGTTAAAAGAGGACTGGAGGGTTTATCCGGGCGAGGAAGATGGGAGCACGGTCTCCAGGAGGATATACACATGGGTGAGAAGCACGCCACGCGAGAGGAAGGTCCACGCAGAACAAGCCCACATCAAATTGATCTTGAGCTAGCAATGGGTGGTGGCGTTCATGGAACCAAGGAAGGCCAGAGTGTCTGAGAATATAGAGGAGATGGAGGATGAGACAGAAGGGGCTGAGCTGACACAGCTGGATTTTATTGTTGGTGTCAAGGGAGGCTACCCAAAGTGTTAATCAGGAGGAGGACTTAAATTGATCTGGGTTTTTTTTTTTTTTGAGACAGGGTTTCTCTGTGTAGCTCTGGCTGTCCTGGAACTCGCTCTGTAGACCAGGCTGGCCTCAAACTCACAGAGATCCACCTGCCTCTGCCTCCCAAGTGCTGGGATTAAAGGTGTGCACCATTAATGCCCAGTTGATCTGGTTTTTAAAAGCTCCTTTTGCTGTTGTGTGTAGTTTGGGTAGTGTGTGTGTGTACGTGTGTGTGTGTGTGTGTGTGTGTGTGTGTGTGTGTGTTGGGAACTGACTCTTGGCAAAATGCTTGCTGCACAAGCATGAAGACCTGAGTTCAGATCCCCAGCACCCACATAAGAAGAGGTGTGTGGTGGGAAGTTCCTGTAACTCCAGTGCTGTAGAAGGAACTGACTGCAGTGATGCACTCTGAGTTGGCAGGACAGGAAGGCAGGGGAAACTGGGAACACTGGAGGGAAAAGAGCCCCTCCCATGGGAATCTGGTTGAAGCCTCTTGTCAACAGAGAAGGAGGAATTCCAGGACAGTAGCATCTGTTTCAGACCTTCCTCCCTTCCCAGCTATAAGCCTGCAGTTTTCTAGGACTCTCACCAGAAATTCCTCTTCTAGGGCAGGGTTATGCCCTATGTCTGCTGTGTAATCCCAGTGGCTTCTGATTCTCCTTAGCAGGTCATGATTTCATCCAAAGCATCTTCGGAGCCATTCTAGAGTTTTACTTATCAAAAGAGAAAAAAAGGGAGGGAGGGAGATTTCCTAGCAACCATTTGGCGTGTAACTTGAAAGCCACAAAAATGGTACAGTACACATGGCTAATGCTAAACAAACAAATCTTGATTCTACCTTGAGGGGCTCATGCCCACACCTGGGTATGTCTTACTTTCTGAGCTCATCTCTTTCTCCTAACAACCCTTGTTAGGGTGCTTAAAAGTCTTTATTAAAATGACTTAATAAAATCTTCAATTCCGTTTCACACTGAGTAGTTCTGAAATTATTTTCTGTGTCAAAGCTACAAACCCTTGCCTGGCCTAAGTCAAGCATCCTAAAAGATTAAGGCAGTCCTCAGGCTGCTGAGGTGAGAGTGTGGAGCTGGGTCTGTCTCCTTACTGCTGTCTTAAAAAACAAAATCAGGTGGAGAACAACAGAGGACAACACCTGATGCTGACTTGTGACCTCTGTGCAGATGTACCTGCACACATACGTGCACATACAAACATCTAAACACAAACACACTAAATATAGCAGACCTGAGCTGCCGCTGAAATCACAGACTCTGGGCTGCACTTTTGCTGATGAGATGGAGGGGCACTGGCTTTGAGGCCTGACAACAGCATGATCCCGGGACCGGGTGGCCGAGGGCGAGGACCTACTCTTGCAGGTCGTCCTGGGTGTATGCGAACACACACAAAAGTAAGTTGTCAGATAAATGCAAACTAAAATAAAAACAAAAACAAGTAAAGCTTACTTAGTCCGTATGCTTGATAAGCCCACAACACCAGATATGCGGTTGTTTTCAGGGGCCCACTGGACCCCTTGCTGTTGAAAGGGTAGGTGTGGAGCAGAGAGAGCAGCTGGCTGGAAATTTAATGTCTTGAACGCTAGTCCCAGCTCTAGCTTTGTTTTGGGGACTCAGTGTCTCCAGGCAATCTTTGGAAATAGCATGACCTCTTCCTAGATGAGCTGACTGAAGAGTAAGCAGCATGCTTGTGGGGGAGCACTCATCTAGTGCAGTGAGCACTCAGCTAAGGCAGTGAGCACTCAGTTAGGGCAGTGAGCACTCATCTAGGGCAGTGAGCACTCAGTACAGGGCAGTGAGCACTCAGCTAGGGCAGTGAGCACTCAGTACAGGGCAGTGAGCACTCAGCTAGGGCAGTGAGCACTCTGCTAAGGCAGTGAACACTCAGCTAGGGCCAGTGAACACTCAGCACAGGGCCAGTGAGCACTCAGTACAGGGCAGTGAGCACTCAGCCAGGGCAGTGAGCACTCAGTACAGGGCAGTGAGCACTCAGCCAGGGCAGTGAGCACTCAGCTAGGCCAGTGAGCACTCAGCTAAGCCCATGAGGACTCAGCAGAGAATCAGAGAGCACCTGGAAGATGTTTCGTTAATGGTGAGGGATCTGGGGACAAATGGGTAGCAGATAGAATTGAATGAGGCTTGCTGACTTTGTTGTGTGAATTCTAATCCTTCTTGGGCCTCAATTTCTGTCTCTATAATTAGGTATCCATGATTTTGTCTCATTGCCACAGTCTCTATGCCTGTGAGTGCTGAGAGGAGCAGAGGTAAGTCGATGTCTTTCCCTGAAGGATCAGTTGGACCAGTGTTTTGGTCTGGGGATGCTTCCCTAGGCCTTGCAGCTTGGGTTGGGATGTCTTAAAGGACACCATCGCCCTCTTATGGCCACAGCTGACTCAACAGCTGGACTCTAGCTGGCTCCCTCCAGGAGGGGAGAAAGTGTAACTGGCTGCTGGGTGACTGTGTCATTGACTTCCTGGCAGGGTTGGCTTTCTTGATAAATGTAGTTGTGAGCATTGGTTAGGGTATAAACAATTGGCCAGGTGGGTCTTCAGGAGAGAGGACCAGATTAAGTTTAATTTTCTTTAGGGTCCCCATTCGAGTGGAGAACTATTTTGCTGACTCTGTGAGGTTGAAATTCAATGTGCATAGTGGTGCAAGTTTTTAATCCCAGCAGAGGCAGCTCTCTGTGCGTTCAAGGCCAGCTTGGTTTACCTGCGAGTTTAGGCTAGGTAGGGCTACAAAGAGCCTACAAAGACTTTGTCTCAAAACAAACAAAATACAAACAAACAAACAGAAGACAGAGACAAATTCAGTGAGTTTCAAACCTGGCAGAGCCAGGGGAAAGGGGATTAGTGAACAGTGGGGAAAAGGGTCCAGGGAAATGTCTCCGTTAAATAGGAGGCTCAGATAAAGCCACAGGAGACATAGGTCCTATCTTCCCATCATTACTGAACAGCATCCAAGAGCTCTCAGTCTGTGTAAGTATAAACACAGATCTGTGTTGTGTGCACACATGGCCTCCCTACCAAATGCACTTGCCTTGCCACATGTGGCTGGCTTTTATAACAGCCATCTCTCAAAAGAAACACTCTCACTCACTCACTCAGAAGAGGTCCTTACTAAAGCACAGTGAGAGCCACAGGGGCAATAGGCAAGGACCCAAACCAGCACCTATGGGGCAGCTCTGATATAGAATACAAAGTCTACCAGGAATAGTATTCAAAGGGTTCTACCTTCCGCACACATGATGGTTTCTGTAAATCCTGCCTCCAGTCCTGGTCTTTAGCCTATAAAATACTAGATTAGAGTGGTTTAGAGTTAGATGGAAAAACTCAAGGCCCATTTCTCAATCTCTAGACTTGGCCAACAATAAATAGAATGGTGTATATGGGATAGTTTGAGCAAAAACTCATAATACTACAGTTTGGCATGATGGTTCACACCTGCAATCCCAGCACGTGGGAGGTGGTGGCTAAGGAGTTCAAGGACATCCTGGGTTACACAGCCAGTTTGAGATCATCCTGAGCTACAGGAGACCCCGCAGACAACAACAACAACAACAACAACAAATAAAACCTAGGGCTGGAGAGATGGTTCAGTGGTTAAGAGCACTGCTTGCATTTCAGATTTCAGAGGACCTAGTGTTGATTCCCAGCATCCACATGTCCTTCAAAAACTTATGTAGCTACAGTTTTGGGGGAATCTGACACACTTTTTTGGCCTCTGTGGGCACTAGATACTCAAGTAGTGCAAAAGCATACATACAGGCAAAACTCTTTTTTTTTTTTGTTTTGTTTTGTTTTTTTGAGACAGGGTTTCTCTGTGGCTTTGGAGCCTGTCCTGGAACTAGCTCTTGTAGACCAGGCTGGCCTCAAACTCACAGAGATCCACCTGCCTCTGCCTCCCGAGTGCTGGGATTAAAGGCCTGCACCACCACTGCCTGGCCCAGGCAAAACTCTTATACTCATAAAACAACAAACCAATCAGAATCAAAAACAACCACCAGCCACCAACAAAAACACAACCTATTCAAATTTGTGTGTCCCACCCAGCTTTTGGGAGGAAGGGGCAGGAAGATCAGTTCAGCAGGGTTATCTGCGACTACACAGAGTTTGAGGCCAGCCATGCCACACACACGGCACGTTTCTCAAAAACAAAAACAAATCCAGCATTCCAACACCAAACCAAATCAACATCATACTCCATGACAACGTGAGAATTCATTATTCCACAGGCGCTTCCTTGCCAATAGTAAATATGGCATCTCGGCGCCCTCCTCTCTCCCTCAGTTTGATAGTTGCCAATAGTCAACATGGCCGCCACACCATGCATTCCTATTGGTTGCTGCTCTGGAGGTGGGCGGGAGTTTTTGCGTTGAGAGTAGAGCTACGCCTGCGTAAGTCATTGGCGCCAAGATGGCGATGGAAATGAGGCTTCCAAAGGCTCGCAAACCTCTCAGTGAGAGCCTGGGCCGCGACTCTAAGAAACATTTGGTGGTACCGGGGGATACGATCACCACGGACACAGGATTCATGCGGTACGTGAGGATTTGGGGGGCCCAAGACCTCAGGAGGCGGCTGCATAGCTCTCTGCACGTGGCCTATTGCCCCGGAACCCAGGCCTCCTGTCCTCTTGTATCTAAGTTACCGAAGTATCTGGGCACATCCTAGCATCCACATTAGCCTCCTCCTTTCCGAGCCTTGTGCTTCTGACTCCCTTAATCTTGGGTGACCCTGTCTCAGCCCAAGTCCCTTCTTTGACCTATGGTACCTGAAACTTTTGGGTCCTCAGCCTGAAACAAGTTTTGGAGCCTTCGTTGGGAGGGAGAACTGGGGAGGGCTGGAAGCAGGACCATCCTTACAGCACTCTGAAGGGACAGTGGGCATTGCTGGCTTGGTCACCTCCCTCAGTGTCTCCTCAGCGAGAAGCCCTGTTTTGAAGCAGTGATTTGGGGTGGAGGTGGGTTTAAGCCAACATACCGTGCTAGTATGCACCCAAGTATGCAAACTTAACTTGTAAAGGCAGGCATCTTATGGCAGTTTGGGCAGGCCGTGGAGCCGGACAGCTGCCGTCGTTATTGTTAACGATATTGCTAAGGTCGGTATCCTCACCCTGAAGACAGCGGTGGCAACAGTAATCGGTAAGGTAGCGAGGGTTATGTGAACTGAAGAGAAGGACAGAAAAGCAAAGTCCACCATCGTGTTACCACCAAGGGTGATTCTGTGTTCCGTAGCCAGGCCCTCCCTCTTGCGTTGCTCTGTCTCTGTCTCTCTGTGTCTCTCTGTCTCTCTGAGACAGGGTCTCACTATAATAACACTGGCTGTTCTGTACCACTGTGTAGACCACTCTGGCCTGAAGCTCAGATCCCCCTGCTTCTGGCTCCCAAGTTCTGGGCTCAAAGATGTGGTTACCACACCAGGTTTTTTCATTTTTTGGTATGAATGAGGTTAAAGCGTTTATAGCATTGCCTCTAAGCTAAAGGTTATGGGATGGTAGAACCCTTAGGGTTCATTTCTTCGTACTTTCAACATAGCCTTTGTGGTTGGGGTACATGAGTGCAAACCTGTGCCCTGGTAGAGTTTACACTCTAGCAAGGAGACTTAAGCAGGCACGGCCATCAGAAAACTATAACTGCAGTGGCTGTGGGCCAGCAGGGTTGGAGGAGCAGCTGAGGCAGCAGTGGGGAGGGCTCCTGTGTTGTCTGGGATACTGGAGGTAGGTTGTTGGAAAGTGGCATCTGAGCTGACCTCTTTAGGATGAAAGAGATGGTCCATGTGGCTCTCTGAGGAGCGTGCATCGGGCTCAGGGTAGGGGGAGCCTATTATGTTCTTCCAGATGGAAGAGGTCACCTCCAGTGTAACATGGCTTCTTTTCTTTGTGGTCTGTCCTTCAACAGGGGCCATGGAACATACATGGGGGAAGAGAAGCTCATTGCGTCTGTGGCCGGCTCCGTGGAGAGGGTGAACAAGCTGATCTGTGTGAAAGCCTTGAAAACCAGGTGAGGACAGAGGAGTGGATCTCTTTCTTGGAGCATCTGGGCTGTACGCAGGTCTCTTCATCTTCCCACAATCCACAGTCTGTCCTGTTAAAGGCTGCTATGTTGCATTCAGCTGCCAACTTGACACAAATCTAGAGTTACCTGGTAAGCAGGAACCTAAACTGAAGAATTGACACTATCAGATTAGCCTGTGGGCATGTTTTATGGGAGAGTCCAGTCTGTCCCTGGGCAGGTGGGCCTGGGGTGTGTAAGAATGCTGGTTGAGGGCTGGGTATCACTGCACGCTGTTTGTAATCCCAGCACTTGGGGAGGCAGAGGCAGGCAACTCTCGGTGAGTTCCAGGACAGCTAGGGCCATTCTGAGAGACCCTGTCTAAGAGATGGGAGTGGGAGCAAGGATATGGACATACTGGCTGAGCTTGAGCCTGGGAAGCAAGCCAGCGAGCAGTGTTCCTCCATGGGCTCTGCTTCCGTTCTGCCCTCCAGGTTCCGGCTTTGGCATTCCCTGATGATGGAGTGTTACCTGTAAGCCAGGCAAACCCTCTCCTTCCCGGATTGCTTTTGGTTGTAGTGTTGATCACAGCAACAGGGAGCAAACTAGCACACCATGAAAGGCAGTGAGAGCTTTGGAGGTTCCCTCTGCAGAGTGGAGAAAATAGCCGTCTCAGGATTTTCATTAGAACTCAGTGACATGCTGCATGTAGAGTACTTAACACAGGGCCAAGTACCTAAGAGCAGCCCATAAAAGTTAGTCCAGAAGGGGAGCCAGTATGGCTGGAACCGAGTGGTCAAAGAAGAGACCAGGGGCTGAGCTGGCCAGGTGGTCACCCTGCCCAGCAGGGATGGGGAGTGTTTGGGCTTCATGTTGTGTGACCTGGGAAGCCCTCAGAAGGGACTGGACAGAAGAAAGCTGTGATCTGGCCTCCGTCTTAATCAGCTTGCTGTAGCTGCTGTGGGGACATTGAAGGGGACAGGGAGCTAGACTAGGGAACTGTACTTACCTAACAAAATAACGAAGTTACGGCAGCTCACACAAGGGTAGCAGCAAGCACTGGGGAGCAGTGTACTCTGTGTACTTTGTTTTTGTGTACTGAGTGTCTTTATGTGAAAGGGTGTTGGACTTTGGGGTTTTCTCTGTAGGAACGTTGCTCACTTGCAGTAACTGATGTGTTAAGGATAGTTAACAGAGGGGAAGCGGGTGGCAAGCACACTAACTTGGGGGTGAATGGAGAGAACAGTTCGCTCTGGAAAAAGGGAAGCAGCTGCAGGTAGTCTTCACTTTGGATTTGTTGCTTTTAGAAGTGTCCATGATGCTTTTAATCCCAGCACTCAAGGAGGCAGAAACGAGCAGATCTCTGAGTTTGAGGCCAGCCTGGTCTACAGCGTGAGTTCCAGGACAGGCTCCAGTGCTACATAGATAAACCTTGTCTTGAAAAACAAAACAAAACAAAACAAACAAAAAAAGCCAGAAGAAGTACTTATGAGCCAGTTGTGCGGCTATTGATATTGGATAGCTCTGTGACCCCACCCCCTAGGAGCTGGGAGTGTGGATGTGTCCCAGCCTTTCACCATTAACACTCAGTGAGCTCACTGTCAGTGAGGGAGCTGTGAGTGGACAGAGACCAGTCTAATGCCTGGGCTTTCGCAAAGAACACTTCCCCCTTGGGATCAGGGTAAGGGACCTGCAAAGGGCCGGCTCCGAGCAGGCAGCAGGGAGATGGCAGTTCGAGCCCCCATGGATGGAGACCTGTTTCCGTCTCCTTTCTCCTCCAGTGCTCTGTTCACAGGCAAGTACTCCATGTTTTTAACTTGTCACATAATCAAAGTTAGGACTGCAATCTAAAGCAATGGTTTGCAATGAGCAATTTCTTTTTTTTAAAGACTTATTTTTTAATTATGTATACAGGGTTCTTCCTGCGTGTATCCCTTCAAGCCAGAAGAGGGCGCCAGATCTCATTACAGATGGTTGTGAGTCGCCATGTGGTTGCTGGGAATTGAACTCAGGACCTCTGGAAGAGCAGACAGTGCTCTTAACCTCTGAGCCATCTCTCCAGCCCCAATGAGCAGTTTCTTTAAGGATAGCTAATGAAGCATACACAGAGAGATTTGGAAGGCCCCAGGTCTAAACACTGGTTACACCTGTTTGCCAGATATGCTTAACGAAGCCCCGACTGTTGACTCAGTCTCAGACAGTGCTTGGTCTGGTCAGCCTGCTGGCTACTGGGTAACCTTTTGCTTTCTCTTGCAGGTACAATGGAGAAGTAGGAGACATTGTAGTGGGGAGAATCACAGAGGTAAAGTCGCTGTTTACAGAGTGAAGCAGGCTGGTGGCTCAGGGATGGGACCGCCATTCTGTGAAATGCTGAGTGAAAACAGTGCCCCTGAGATGCTGCCCTACGTTGTCCTTACAGGTTCAACAGAAGAGGTGGAAGGTGGAAACAAATTCTAGGCTGGATTCCGTCTTGCTCCTCTCGTCCATGAACCTGCCTGGAGGGGAGCTGGTAAGTGCTTGCCTGCCCTGGCACTGTCCAGGTAGCTGTAGGGCTCTTGCTCCATCACAGAACTCTGCTTACACTGTTGCTGTTCGTCACAGAGTCAGCTACTGAAGGGGAAAATAGGCTTTTCTCCTGGCCTCGCAACATAGGCAGCAACTAGTGTGTGGTAAAACCAGAAACACGTGTGGAGTGCACTCCCAAGACAGAGCTAGGGAGCGAGAGTCCTGAACCTTGGTGCTGATTTCCTGTCTTGGTGCATTGGCATTGCACAGTGAAGATGTTCATGAAGGAATCGCCTCAGCTTCCTTTCTTTTATTTTTTTGCGGGGACAGAAGGTTAGGGTTGAGGCAGAGTTTCTCTGTATAGTCCTGACTGTCTTAAAACTCACTATGTAGACCAGGCTGGCCTGGAACTCACAGAGATCCACCTGCCTCTGCTTTATAGTGCTGAGATTAAAGGCCTATGCCACTAAGCCCCATTTGTGCTTAGTTTTCAATAACTTGAGTGACACTTGGTTATCCCAGTGACAGCTTTTTGTCCATATCATGGTTCAGTTCTAGCATATTTCGGAGAGGCTTCCTGAACTGGGTCCCATGGAGGGTCCAGAATAAAGGAGACACAACTGAGTCCCTTGGAGAGCTTCTAGATGAGTGGAGGGTGGGAGATAACTGAGCCATGTGGTGGCAGGAGAATGAAGAAACATGGGGAGTCGTTGTTCACAGGAGGGTCCTGTGAGGTTGGGGGTGCTGAGGTGACGGAAGGATACATGCACAGACACGGCCTGATGGAAGTGTGGTGGGTGAGCAGGGGACCAGGCTCAGTGAGCTGGAGAGAGTCTGGGTGTTAGCTCAGGAGGATCCCTCCTGGGAGAGCTAGTATCATCTCCCTTATTCTTTGGCGGCTCAAGAGGTCTTGTCACAGTCCTTCACATTAGGACACCGTGGTGGGTGTCACAGGTCTCAAGCAAAAGACCTCAGTGGAAAGAGCGCTTCCTGAGAGTGAGGCTTGTGTCATGTGCTCGTTTTCCTGTGTGTTTCAGAGGAGAAGATCTGCAGAGGATGAGCTGGCCATGAGAGGCTTCTTACAGGAAGGAGACCTCATCAGTGTATCCTGCCCTATAGGGCTGCAAGCATGACCAAAGGTCTGAGTTCTGGGTCAGGTGTCCAGGGCCCCGTGGCAGCTTTGCTCTTTCTCCTTAGCTCAGAACAATACCCGGGGTGTAAGCTAGACAGGCATAATTGTCTTTCCTTTGTTTTTAAGAAGGATAGTCCAAGCTGGCTTGGAACTCACTGTATATCCCAGGCTAGCCTCAGACATGGTATTGCTGTCTCTGCTTCCTGAATACTGAGATTTTAGGCATAGGCCATCATTGCTGGCTTAGCTCCAAATTTCCTTTTTTATCTTAAAAAATATTTTATTACATTTATTTATTTATGTGTGCAATCAAATCACTGCTATTCTGTGCATGTGGGGGTCAGAGGACAACTTGCAGGAGTTGATTCTCTTTTTCTTCCATGTGGGTCTGGGGGTGGAACTCAGATTGTCAGGCTGGATGCCAAGTATCTTTACCCGCTAAGCCATCTCCCCAGCCCTCAAGTTTTCTAAACAATATGAACATTTAGCCCAGAGAATAGAAAAGATTGTATCAAGATATTCTTGCCCAACCAAGGGGAGAGGTGAGGTCATAGTGATGTCCCTAGGGTCATGTAAGATAAGCAGGGTGGCCTCTTGGGAATGGAAGGGCAAGCTGGATGCAGGCAGTGACACAAGAGTGGGTTGTCGCCAAGGCTACTGTTGTTCCTTCATCACCTGGGCAGGCAGAGGTCCAGGCAGTGTTCTCGGATGGAGCTGTTTCTCTGCACACAAGGAGCCTGAAATATGGAAAGGTAAGTCAGGCTTGGGAGGCTTTCAAGTCTAAATCCCCATAGCTCCTTGGCATGACTGACCTAAAGACCTGGTGGTTAGCTGGGTCTGGTGTAGGGGGCCTGTAATCCCAGCCCCCTGGAAGCTGAAGTAGAATTACAAACTGGACTCCATAGTGAGATAACCTCTCTATACAACCCCCATCTTAAAACAACAAAAAGCAACAACACAGAATCCAGTTGGTTAGGACTGCTGGCTGCTGGCTGTGCTGACAGAGCCTGGTGGGAGAGGGAGTTTCTGCTACCTTTGGCAGGGCAAAGGGTGATTGATGTCCTGAGTCCTTTTCTTCCTGACGAGCCTGTTCTGGTAGATCCCCCACCCCCTTGGATTGGGGCTGTGAGGATCTGCTCCCTCTGGGAGATGCTCAGCCTGGTATTGAAAGGCTGGCTGCATGTCTGCAGAACTATGTCCGCATGGTGGGTATTACTGTTGGCGAAGATGGATTTCTCATCTGAGCCTCTAAATGAAATTTGCCTGCTTCTGTGAGGTTCCATTATTGAGGTCATTTATTTTAAAGACAACATGCTTCCTAGGACACATTAGGGTGTAGTTATTTCTTGGCTTTTTATTTCTGAGAGCAACAAAAGAGCTGTGTCCTTTAATGAAATGGCAGCTGTCACCATGTTCTTGAACATGTACTTGAAGGAGGAAGAGGTGTTGTGTGTGCTGACCTCCACAGCCTGTTACTGTAAACACTTCGTGGTATGTGGACCTAGAGCTGACCAGTCAAAACCAGGCTTGGGTTTGCCAACCCAATGAACCACCTCTCATGGGTGGCATGGGAATTTGATCTGAACTAGGGTCATGGAATGGACCTGTTATGTGGCCAGCGGGAGGTTCCTCATTGGCTCTGCACACCTGCTCTGGCTTAGAAGGCAAAGGGAAGTGACACAGTATTGATGGCCACTTTCT